CTTTCAGACTGTACAATATAAAAACAAATTTTCTAAAAATAATAGCCATGGCTTTAGATAAACTGATGTGACTCCTATTTATCTCTCCATGTAGAAGAGCTATCTTACTATTAAATCCTACTCTTTCACAATAAAACAATGTCACATGATCTTAGGCTATTATTTATACTTAACTATCTACAAATGAAAAGATGTGAGAAAATGAAAGAAAGGGAATCCCCAGCTCATGCAAAAGCAATATTAAGTCACTAAAATATAACAACTTCCCCACTCAAAATAAGCAATCCAAGATGGAAAGAATTGGCACGTTTTTACTTCATTTTGGCCCAATAGAGTTATTTCTTATGTAATTTTTTTTTTTAAATCAGAGAGGAGCCCATAAACACCTTGTTTTTCTTAAATTGGCCATCATGAGGGAAAAAAAAAAAAGAAAAAACGATTGCTAATGTGGTTAAACAGGAAGAAATGAGAGGAGACCAGTCAGTAGTGGGTAATGGGGAGAGCCTGAAGCCAGCAAACACAAAGTGATTGAAAAGTCGTACAAAGTACACTCTAGAAAGATCCCATCAGGCACATATCACATGGAATATAATATCACAACACATCCATGACAAAAAGCTACCTATTTCATTGATAAAATAGAAACCAGTATTTACCTTACAGAAACTCAGCGTTGAGAAAACACTAAGGAAAGCTATCCTTTAATAAAAGGAAATACATGCAACAAGAACAAATCAATCAAAGGCAAGCTATTTCTTTACAATGAGCAATAAAGTGACAACTGTGACTTAGGAAGCATTAAATCATATACTACGAACAGAATCTCTTCTAATAAGAAAAATCTGAGTCTACTACACTAAATGTTATTCAGGGTTTTTGTAAAATGTATTATTTCTCTCATATGATTTCTAAACAACCCAAAGTATTCTTGGTGTGGCTTCAATAACAACTGTGCCTGCACATGTTATATATGATTTTTCCAGGAATGTGTTTTGGATGACATTTTCATGTTTCATGAAAAAGGATGAAACTTACATCCACAAATGTGAAAGGCAGGAACAACGATGATGCTTTCATACAATTTTAACATGTAAATATAAAAGGTTTTGAGAAAACAGAAAAGGGAAGGAGACAAGAGAGCCTCCGAAAGATTTACACAATGTCATTCCAATATTAGTGGCTTAAACCAAATTAGAACAAGTAGCAGAGCTGCCAGGATTTCTGTCTCACAATTAGATTAGGAGAGGAAAAGATTTTACTTAATAATAGTGAAGGTGCTGTCAGAGGAAAGAGAGGTAACCCCAAATCCCAAAGGTCTGGTAAAAGGGGAGAAGTCAGTAGAAATTTCAGGGCTCAGCTATCTGAACAGGGTCTGGGGGAAATCCCATTCAGCTTGAACAAACGTACTGACCAACCATGAGCTTTGTCAGCTGTGCTGAAAATAAGGCACTGTCTGAGAGTAAGAGCCTTCACAGATTCCTCCAAAACCGGCTTCACTGAAAAAGCACTAAGGTTGTGATCTGGATATTCATTAGCACATTTCCTTTGTTGATACAGGTATATTTCCTTCAGTTATGAAATTATTTCATGCTCCCACTTTATTACACACTCATCTAATTTAAAATCCTTTAGTGGCAAAATGGCTTTGTGAGTGTATCAGCCTTCTTGAGATGCTGCCAGTGCATGTCTTAATGGTATCCCCGACACCACAAAAGCAATGTTTATCAGATGAGAAATTCTCAGCAAATCATTTCCCCCTCCTCCTGTTTATACTGTTATTCAAAGCCCTGCTGATTTCCAGGCACTGAACTAAGAATGCCATCCATTTCCACTGTAATATGCACCTGGCTTTCACAGGTGCATATTTCTCCAATTGTGATAATTGTAGATAAGCTCATTTCATAGATTACTATTAGCAAATTCAAAGAAACATAAAGATACTTTGGCTTACATATATTACAAAGACAATGTTCATTTAAAATTAGGAAATACTTTAGAATGAATTTGCAAATTAATAAGTGTTTATTATTTTACAATGTGTTTCATTTAGAGGTTTGTATTTAAGTGTATAAGACTTCAGAAATACTGTGGTATACTACCTTAACATAAGTTAATATAAATTTAGGGACAAAAAAAGTATTTTCCTACACAAGCCATCATTTAGGTTATCATGGAGTCTCAAAGAAAATATTTGAAATTATTTCATATTCTGTTTCTAATGATAGTCATGTTGACAAAATTTATTGGTTCTCAAAGAAAATATTTGCAATTATTTCATATTCTGTTTCTAATGATAGTCATGTTGACAAAATTTATTGGTTCATCAAACTTTATAGTAAAAGTATATGAATTTACTTTTAATAAATTATCATTTTTGCATATATCAGTCAAAGCACAAGGCCTAAATACTTGCAAACAAAATGCATTATTAATTTAATTGTCACAGCCTATTTAACTAACTTCTATTACTATTTGCTATAATATGTATGTAATGCATTAAAGGAGAGAATCAAATTCAAAACATAAAAAGATAAGCTTATTATATTGTCCTGGAAAATTTAAAATATAGCAAGCTTGCAAAATTACAGCCAAGGCATTAATGTTTTAAATAGGTAAGAAAAATGTTTAACTGAATTTAGAGAACAGTTATTCCCAAACTGATGGTTCAGCATGATGATAAAGAGTTTCTTTGCTTCCTAAAGCCAGTAGAAGAAAGGGAAGGTGGTGAAATGGGAGAAAGGAGCCTTTAAGCATTTCTTGTCCAATATCATGTCCCTAAATCTGGGTCTTCTCCAGCTATGAACACCTATTGGAAAATTACATTGCTGCTGAAGTCCCGACATTCTGATTCAGTATTTCTATGTAATAAGAGAGAGTGTCATAAAACGAACATCACAAACAAGAAGTCTTCAGAATCAAAGGATTTTTAATAAGAAAAACAATTCAATCAAAGATGTTTGGTTTAGGTGAATGCTACAGCTTGAAATACTTAAAAGGTAATAATCCAGAAGATGAGTGTACTTTCCTATTTGAGATTCATTTCCTGATTTTAGAACAAAAATAGTGTCAATGTCTGAGAAAAGGTTACCATATCTCAGAGAGGAGAAAGACATTCAATCTTTCTCTGGCCTCTTTTTAGTCGTCCTTTATGTATTCAGGACTGAAATGAGTAAAATAAAGGAAAAGTGCTTGGAATGCATAAGAAAAGGTAAATGGGAAAACCAAATAGCAAACTTGTGATTTTCAAACTAATATAATATACAGGGCATACCCACTATTTTTAAGGTGTTTGATACATAAAATATATATAAAGATTAATTTTTCACTAATATAAAACAATGAGAACAAACACTTCTTCAAATTTTTTAAATTCCTAAATATAAAGCAAAATGACATATTTGAGTTCAAAACACATACTATCTATCTAAAGGTATAGCTGGGAAGTGTTTTCTTTTTACTTCTCTCATGTTTCTGTTCAAATTTATGTTGAAATTCAAATCAGTTATGAGGTATTTATTAGTTACGAGATATTGAATAAATTGTGATTGTATTTTCCTGGTTCTCAATCTTTAGATCTATAAAATTGGAAAAATGATGCACTCCTAATAACGTCATAGATGATTAATTGACATAATGCATGTGAAAACAATGGGAACATAATAATTAAAAATAGGTTTTGTTTCTTTAACTTTAACAGGTATGAAACATAACTCTGACAAGTCCCAAATTATTCTTTCAAAAATACAGAATTTTCTTAAATTTCAAGAATAATGAATCTATCACATGTTCAATGCATACATTTTGGCTGCAATTATTAAATGCAATGTTACAAACAAAAGTATGTGAAACCAAAAGTATGGGTGAAAAGAAGGCAGATACAACATCCCAATATTCTGACATGATAGTAGTCAATGCCAATACTACAATGTTAAAAAAAGATATGCCTCCAGGAGAAAGCGCAAGTTAATTTTCTCATAAACAGAGAATGTACTAGTAAGACCATTTTAAATTTTTTAAAAACGCTATTAAACATTTAAAAACATGGCTGAAGAGTCCTCAGGCTCCAGAGTTGTAGACCAAATTACATCATTATTGACATTTTAAAATAGTATTAAAAAACTACACTCTCCTGGACTGTCTGTAGAATTTTAGATACTATCTTGGAGGATATGAGGAAGCTGAAAATCTATCCCGTCTTTAAGGAAGATGACAGTGCTCACACTAGTTCTGTGTGAGGTGTACATGGTAAAGATTTATAAATTTCAGAAGTGGCCATGCTCACCTGGTAGCTGACATTGCTATATTTCAGTTCATCTAATATAATTAAGTATGTGATGAAGCTAATTATGATACAGTAGCAAGAAAAAAGAAAATCTGGCAGTTGATGACATAATAATTGTAGTGTTATTTTTCATGACATGGTAACTGTAGTATCATTTGGAGGATGACACAAGATGTATTTATCTTTTTTAATATCAGCAATGTTTAAGTATACAGTAAGAATCCAAAAGATGTTATTTTAAAACCTCTAAATAAAAATGCAGGAAAAAAAACAAAAAAAGTTCTGTTTTTATTTATTTGTTTAAGCACATGCTAATGCACTTACAGAAGTCAATTTACTCCAATTTAACTCTTTAATATTTCAAGGTTGTTTCACAAATTCATTGTCCCTGAAATCCTTTCAAATATTTTTTTTTCTTGGCAGCTGCCTGGTAAGGGGGTCTGAACCCTTGACCTTAGTGTTATAAAACCACACTCTAACCAACTGAGCTAACCAGTCAGCCCCTTTCAAATATTTCTAGACTGAAACTGTTAAAATTAAAATGATATTAAATTTTTGTGGAAGTATGACATAAAATACGATATTCAACAACAAAGCAGCATAAATACAAAACATGTCGAACTGACTTGTAAAAAATTCTGAAAGTCATCTTGTTAAACAAAGCATTCTGAAAATGTAATTATTTTTGTTAAATAAAAAAAAAGTAGATAGAAATTACCTTTCTTTTGGGGTGCCAACTCCATGCTTGCCTAGTAGATGAGTATTTAAGTGCTTCTTCATTACAAAAGCAACCCTAAAAAATAAATAAAAGTAATTATATAACTAAAACTTGACAATCTGCTAGAAATTTGTACAGAAAGTATTTAAGAAGAATGGGCATTTATATATGAATATAACATGAAAATGCATATTACAAATGGCTCTCTTGCTAAACAAAAAGAGTACATACAGATCAAATATACAGTAATACTCAGACTGCATCTACATTGACTGGTTCATTTTCTTAGTTGAGTATACTAACAGTGACCAAAAGATCCAAACAATGATTATAGTTCTTTAGTCATTATTTTCACTGCCAGTTAGTCAGAAAGATAAACCAACACTTCAATAAAACATTCACTGTCCCTTGCTGATCTCACACTTTAGTCATGTAATGAGTTTGAGAAAATGTCATTTTATTAAATATTTAAAGGACTATACACGAGAAAATGAATAGCATGGTAGAAATTTAAAAAGAGGTTTTTTAAAATATATAAATTTTTACTGTGTCTGTAGCACACAAAGAAATTGTACTGAAGTGCCAAGAAGATACCCATAACTAAAATAAACAAAAAGTATTACCTGACATCCTATCTTATTTTATACACAAATCAGCTTACTTAATTTAATTCCGTTGACATAAATATAAAATGGACAGGAATCAGCGGACAGGACATGGAGCACCATTCTTCCACTGAACACATTACAACATCAATATAATTATAATTATTTCATGTGATTACTTAAAACAATTTAGATCTCATTCAGAAGCATCAACTAAAATGGCTCTCTTAATAAGTGGGAAAAAAATTTACTATTGTAACTTTCAGTATAAAAGGGCTTGCAAACATTTTTGTTAATTATGTATTACAGCTGTCCTTCATAAAGTTAATTACTAATAGCTGAAAGGCAATAGAATCTATTTGCATATGTACATGAAAGGCATGACACATGCAAAAATATGATTTTAATTAGCATTCTAAGATATAAAGGGCTACAAATCAAATTGGCATGTTATATGATTCTTAACATTAAACACTGAATTCACCTAGACATGTTTGCACAAAGGGGCAACATAAGACTGTAAAGTATTGTAACCTCATGGAAGAGACTTGTGACAAAAGCCAAAAACACAACAATTTCTAAAACTGTGAATGTTTCTTTTCTTTTCTTTTCATGTCTGGTCTATTCTGTTTATAATATTAAGGAACCTCAATTTTACGGACAAAATATTACACTTGGATTTTTTTAAATGACTGTGACGTCACTATTCAAATAATGCACTTTTATACAAAGAAAGTAACATTCTTTTTTTTATATATTAGGTACTAACAACTATGGACAATATGCTCTTTACAGCTATCAATAACTAATCACACCATTAATCACTAAAATGGAAAGATAATTATCACATAAAGGATCAAACTATGTTAATATTAAATCCCGAGCAAAAGATAACAGTATAAGATATTCTATATTTGCTTTTTCTTGATTAGAACAAAATAAATAACATTTCTCATTTCCTTACAAAAGAATACAGTAATAACAACACACCATTTAAGTCACAACTTCCCTACTGTCCTCCATTTTCCTATAATTAAAAAAACATAAAGCTAATAGCAGAGAGCAAAGGTTAAAAACCCAAAGTTGCAAAGCACAGCTTATTTACATGACCAAGTATAATTTACGAGATCTTAATTTAGAAACCACAGTGCAGCTTTTAATAGAAAAAAATTTTATTAATTAAAGTGTTTAAGTTTTAGGAATTGAAGCAAAAATATTACATGGCACAGGGGAACAAACTAGAGTACAAAGGGAGGGAAAGCTTTTTACCCAATATAACACTATCATCTACTGAACATCTCTAAAGTTCGATATTTAGAGAAATATTTTTTTATTGCTAAAGGAAAAAAATGGGTACAAAGGGAGGGAAAGCTTTTTACCCAATATAACACTATCATCTACTGAACATCTCTAAAGCTCGATATTTAGAGAAATATATTTTTATTGCTAAAGGAAAAAAATGGGAAGAGTTTACAATACTATATAAGAGCTCAATTATGTTCACATGGAAAAGATTCATCCAAAATTTGACTTGAAATAAGTAGCATTCTTTAAATTTGGCTTAAAGCACAAGTAGTATAAAAGTTTTAATACTGTCTTTTGTTAAAAAATATTAAGTCAAGCATGACTAACATAAAATTACCAGCCTATATGGACATAGTATTGCCAGCAATATGGGATTATTGAATGTAGCCTATCCTTCACACTGCCATTGTAATACTATTGTTTAAACGACACTGAGGGTTGCGATCCGTTGCCGGACACGAAAAAAGAGACAAAAAGGAAAAAAAAAAAAACATTTTAAACATTTTTAAAAACATTTATAACCTAGATACTACCAGAAATAAAATAAAAATAATCTCAAATCAAAAAAGCTATCCATGAACGAGTATTGAATTTTATCAAATGCTTTTTCAGAAACTATAGAGATGATCATATGGTCCCTGTGTTTGATTTTATTGATATGGTGTATCACATTTATTGATTTGCATAAGTTGATCCAACCTTGCATTGCTGGGATGAATCCCACTTGATCATGGTGTATAATTTTGTATATATGTTGCTGTATCCTGTTAGCAGTATTTTACTGAGGATTTTTGCGTCCATATTCATCAAGGATATTGGCCTGTAGTTGTTTTTTGTTGTTGTATTTTTACCTGGTTTTGGTATCAGGGTGACGTTTGCTTCATAGAATGAGTTTGGGAGATTTGCCATGGTTTCAATCTTTTGGAATAGTTTGTAGAGAATTGGTGTCAATTCCTCTTTGAATATTTGGTAGAATTCTGCTGTGAATCCATCTGGTCCTGGGCTTTTCTGTGTTGGGAGCCTTCTGATAACAGCGTCAATCACTTTTATTGTTATTGGTCTGCTCAGATTTTCAGTACCTTCTTGACTCAGTTTTGGTAGTTTGTGTGTATCCAGAAATTTATCCATTTTCTCCAGATTTTCAAATTTGTTGGCATATAGTTGTTTATGGTACTCTCTAATGATTCCTTGTTTTCAGAGGTAACAGCTGTAATATCACCTTTTTCATTTCTAATTCTTGTTATTTGGGTCTTCTCTCTACTTTTTTTAGTTAGCCGTGCTAATGGTTTGTCAATTTTATTTATCTTTTCAAAAAACCAACTTTTTGATTCACTGATCTTTTGTATTGTTTTTTGGGTTTCATTTCTATGATAAAGACTCTCTACAAGTTAGGTATGGATGGGAAGTATTTCAACATAATTAAAGCCATATATGATAAACTCACTGCCAATATCATCCTGAATGGGGAAAAGCTGAAAGCTGTTCCCTTAAGAACAGGAACTGGACAAGGATGCCCACTCTCATCACTCCTATTCAACATAGTGTTGAAAGTTCTAGCCAGAGCAATCAGAGAAGATAAGGAAATAAAGGGCATCCAGATTGGAAAAGATGAAATCAAATTGTCCCTGTTTGCAGATGACATGATCCTTTATGTTGAACAGCCTAAAGCCTCTACAAAAAAACTCTTTGAGTTGATAAATGATTTCAGCAAAGTTGCAGGATACAAAATCAACACACAAAAATCAGTAGCATTTCTAGTCTCAAATAGTGAACTTGCAGAAAGAGAAATCAAGAAAGCCTGCCCATTTACAATAGCCACCAAA